AACAACTACATTCACAAAGAGGAGATAGAGACACCAAGGATGGGGATGGGAAGATGGGGAGGGAATAGTTTGAGAAAGAAACAAGAAGTTGAAAGGTTGAAAAAAGAAAACAGGATAGTGTCACTGGAACCAAGAAATGAAAGCGTTGCACAGAGGGAGAACCACACGATTTTGCTCACTTAATGTTTTCCATCAAAAGAGCCTTGGACTAGGACTCAGTCCCTGCTCTATTGTGTGACTTTCTAGCTGTGTTACACTTTGAGCAAGTCATCTCTCTAAGCCCAAGATTCTTCAGATGTAAAAAATGAATAAGACCAGTCCTTCTGGTTAAAAGGCTGCTATAAGGATCAAACGAGAATGGATGCATGTGAAGAAGGCTTTTGTTAACTTGCAAAGCACTGGACAAATATGAGAGGCTGTTCATTTGATAAATTTTTACTGTTATTTTTATTAATTTGTGAAAATATAACAACTGTTGAATAGAGGATTTAAAGTCTTTAATAGTGGAAAATCTTGAATTTGAAAGGCCATAATTATTCAAGAGTCTCATTAGATATAATAGCTAGCTCTTATGAGCATCTACTGTGTGCTGGGCACTATTCTAAATCCTCCACATAACTCATTTGATCCTCAAAAAATCTTATGAGATAAGTACTATTATTAGCCTTGTTTTACAGATGAGGAAGCTAAGGCTTAGAGAAGTGAACTAACTTGCCTCAGGTCACACAGCTAGGAAGTGACTCAGCCAGAGCTCAAACCAAGTCTTTCCTATGCCAGAACCTGACCTCTTAATCACTACACCAAACTTCCCCTTAAAAATATGCCTTGGTTGCCAGAGGGGAAGGGGAAAGAGAGGAGGGCGAAAAGGGTTTTAGGGTACACGTGTACAGTGACGGATGGTAATTAGTCTTTGGATGGTGAACATGATGTAGTCTACACAAAAATCGAAATATAATAACGCACACTTGAAATTTATATAATGTTATAAACCACTGTTACCTCAATAAAAAAATGACTTGGAAAATTAGAAGATCACTATATTGTAACCCAAATGAATCACAGATCTACGTATTGAGCATCAATGGCAGCTATCATCACAAAGAGACACAACCAGACATTATGTGACTCCTGAGAGAAGCACATGCCACCATCTATGAAGTAGTTTTGCCCTCCCCCCAAAACAAAACTGAAGCTAATCAAACAAAGCTTTTAGATTAGGGTTAGAGTTGCCAGATAAAATTCAGGATGCCCAGTTAAAATTGAATTTCAGATAAACAATAATTTTTTTTAAAGTAAGCATGCCTCATGCAATATTTAGTATGTCCCATACATTTTATTTGGGACATACTTATACTAAAAAAGTATTCATTGCTTATCTGAAATTCAGTTTTCACTGGGTGCCCAGCATTTTTACTTGCTAAATCTGGCAATCCTACTTTAGATCCAACTACTCATTTATAAGGAACACAAATGACAGAGAAACATTAAAGGAACCAAGATGAGGCTGTGTGCACCAGATTATGGGTAAATGTACAAGACGAACAACCAGACTTCTTAAACAAAGAAATATCAAGGAGTAGAGTTAGAGAGGAAATCTATAGACTAAAAAGAGACTTAGACACAAAAACCAATCACGATGTGTAGACTATTTAGATTCTGATTCATATAGTAAAAAAATCATGACACTCGTGATACTATTGGTAATTTGAACACTGGATGTTTGATTATACAAAGGAATTATTTATTTTTAGTTGTCTAGTGGTATTATGGGTTTTTTTTAAGAAGCCCTTGTCTCTTATAGGTACATATTGAAATGTTTATGGATGAAATGATATCATGTCCCAGAGGTGCTTCACAATAATCTGGAAGGGAGGGAAGTGGAAGGGGTAAAGGGGTATAGATGTGACAAGATTGGCTTTGAATTGATGGTGTTGAAGCTTCCTAAAAAGTACATGTGATTTCATTACACTTTTCTATTTCTGTATATGTTTGAAATTTTCCACAAAAAAAATTTTAAAGAAACAACACCTAGCACAGTGTCTGATGTACTGTAAACACAATATATATTTGTTGGCAAATGGGTTTGTTAATTTAAAAAAAAAGAAGGCTCTCAGATGGCCATCAAATGGAAAAACATTTTTGAAATGAGACTGCAAGCATGAATATGCCTGGAAACACAAATGAGATTCATTTATGGACTAAAGTACATTCAAATGGAAACAAAAGTGAATTTGCTCAGATAAGGGAATCTGTTTATTGAAGATGAAGAGTTGTGAAACTCTGGGCAGAAAAGGTACATATGTTATAGGTACTTAATTTTGGTAAACACGGAAGACATTTTCAATCTTCCAAAAAGATGTTCTGCAGAAAACAATCCACCTTTGATTTCCTTCAATATTTATTATTCCAGGGAACTGGTGTGGAAAGCCATGTTAATTTCCCAAAGGCCTTCGGACAGATTTCGAAAATTTGAGTGCTCACATGCAAGCGAATCACCAATTACTAGAAATTAATGACTTCTCATGCTGAATAATGCATGCACTTGGCAGGAGGGCTTTACCAAAGATGCAGTGTTGTCATTTTGAATGCAGTCTTGCATTACCTGCTGGGTACGTGAAGGCAACCAAATTCAAAAGCAACCTTCCCGCATAGGTGCAGGTTCGTGTGTTTAATGAAGTGTTTAGTGCAGGTTAGTGAAATAAGCTGTTTATTTTATGCTTAATATTCCACTATATGGATGCACCATAATTAATTCAACCATTCTCTTACCGATGGATGTTTCCTACTTTTGCTATTATAAACAATGACACATTTACCCTTACACATTTAGCCTTACATTCTTTAATTTCTGGGGGAGAGATTATAAGAAGTGGGTTTGCTGGGCCAAAGAGTATACATATTTTTAATTTTAAAAGATACTAATTGCATGTATTTTTAAATTAGGGCTACAATGTGGAATGGTGTTTTTTAAAAATGCAGTCACCTAACTACAAGCCAATCATCTCGCTAACTTTACTTCAAATGCTAAGTATATTTAAGCTCTGCTTTAAGTAGAGAACTGGGGTTCTTAGACAACCTGTTATTAACAGTGCTTTTGGTGTTGAAAATGCCGTGGTTTATTCTGCATCAGAGCACCCTGTATCAGTCCTCCCAGTCTGGCATACCTTCCTGTACTAGAAAGAAGCATTTTAAATTGTCTCCCTGTCACTGTCTCTGAATTCTGAGTGCCATTTCTGTCTATCCTTCCTTGGTCCCTTTTTGCAGGGAGAGACTGGTTCTCTGCACTCTTTAAAAGGTTATTTATCGCTACCTTTTCCTCTTATCCTTTTTGTCCCTCTAATTTTAAAGATCCCTTTATTTGCTGTTCTTCAAATTCAAAAGTAAGAAATGCTTGCTATAAACAGTGAAACAATGCACTATGAGGGTGTATAAAGACAAAGCTAACCACCTACACCGCAAGCTCCTGATGTAATCAATACAAACAGCCTGCTGAGGAGCCTTCCATACCTCTCCCTGCTCATACAAACAGAACAAATGTATGTGCACACATATAAAACTTTGTTTGTTTTCACCAAAGTGTAATCATACTATACACACTATTCTGCAACGTTTCACTTAACCATGTATGTACACATATATACATACATATATATTTATATATATGTGACAAGAGACAATATATATTATTTAACAAAATATAGTGGAGATACTCTGCAGTCTTGAGTTTCTTTCCAGTTCCAAAATTCATTTTGGTATTCCTTTAGAGAATATACTACCATTATAATTATTTGTAATAAATTGTGAATGTCTTTCTTCCCTGCTAGACTGAGAGCTCCATGAAGGCAGGGGGCTAATTTTGTTCACCACTATGATCTCCAGAATTTAGGGTAGTGCTGCCAGGATAGTAATTGCCTAAAATCTACTTGTTCATTGTTTCAGTGCTTCCTGAAACCTTCAGTCTACTTAAAACTGGTCTTCACCAATACTACTGAAATATATGTGTCTCTAGGAACTCAGGCCCAAGTCACCACTCAATGTTATTTGGATGGAACCTAGAGACAGCACACTTTAAATATTTGTAAGAATTTGTGCTTTTTAGCAAAAACCCCTCTCTGCCACAAAAATGAATTTTAAAAGACAGATCACATGTTTAGCGGAAAGCACTTGGAATTAGGAGACCTGGGCTTCAGAAAGCTCCTTATCCTTTCTGGTCCTGGTTCCTCATCTGTAGCTCTAACATTCACTAATTCCACAAATATGTATTGTCTACTGCGTACTGGCACTAGGCTAAGAGCTAGTGATACAGGGGTGAATAATAACAACCAACATTTAGTGAATGCTTACTCTATGCTTGGTCTTTTGCTAATGGAGTCATATGTACCATCTCATTTAATCTTCTATGAGATAGCACTACTGTGTTACTTTCTGTACTTTACAAAGGAGGGAACTGAGGCATAGCGAGGTGAAGTAACTTTCTCAGCATACCAAAGGACGCGGTGAAGACAGGACTGGATTCCAGACAGTGGGGCTTCAGATGCCATTCCAGTAACCATAGCGAATCTTCGCCCTCATAATTCGATGACTATTTCAGTGGCTTGCGTTTTGGTCCCAGCCCACGAGTACTGGGTGGAGCACCCTCTTGTCAATATGAGGGCGCAATGACGCAGATGTGCTTTACAGAAACCACTGAGGGATCTGACACAAACGCAGCAAGGAGCAATGCTCTACCGCGCTCCCGCAGCCTCCACATCCGGAAGGTGAAGGAGTGGGAGGCGTCAGCGGGTCGTACGCGTGCCTCTCTGAGCGTCCCATTGGATACACGGAGGCGTGCGGGCCACGCCAGCAGGACGCGCTTCTCTGAACTCAGCAGGGGGCGGGGAGAAAGGGCGCGCTGCGTGCGCGCGGGCCCTTCTGACGTCGGCGCCAGCCAGCGGCTCCGCCTGCTCCCGGGCTCGTGTGCCCCGCCCCGCTGCCCGCGCCGCCGCGGCTTCCACTTCCTGGCCCTCCCTACCTTTAGCGAAACCAACGAGAGGACACCGCCGGCGTCTAGAGCAGCCCCACCAGGAGCCTAACCGAGTGGCGCGCGAACGTGAGAGGAGAACCGTGCGCGGCTGCGCTCTCCCGCCCCTGAGCCGTTGTAGACGCGGGTGAGTGTCGGGGCGTCAGCCCGCACCTTGAGCGACCCCGGAGCGGGCCGACCCTGCCCCTCTCCTCGGAAAGGCTTGGGCCCTGGCCCATTCCCAGCATGCTCCGCGCCGGGTGCCAGGGCAGGTGCAATGGGAGGAATAGTCAGTAGGGGAGACTGAGAGCCGCCTTCCTGGAGGAGCTCCCTTGGCCCCTCAGGGTCGAGAGGTGACCGTTCTCCCTTTCACTTTTTCTCTCAATTTCGTCCTTCTCCCTTTTCCATACTCCACCCCAAACACCTTCACCTTTTAAAAAGATTCATCTCAAAATCCACTCTGGTAGTTTCTGCCTCATTTGTGCCCGTGTGCAGTTTTAAGTTTCCCTCTCCTCTGCACCATATATGCTATCATGTGCGTCTCCAGTGCTAGATTTTTTTGCCTCCCTTGATGGGAAAGAAAATCTCCTTAGAATAAGTGTGCAAATGATCCATGCATGAGTAGTATCCTCGTCAAGAAGAAAGTTCTGGTATACGTATGCTATTATCAAGCTAAGAGAGACGAGTGAGTTATCATATATTGGCCAGAAATAACGAAAATTGTGTAATATGAAATGCCAAAATCCTATGTAAATTAATTTTAGAGTGCATCTGACAATTCTGATATTAAGCAGAGCTTGTTTCCTGTCAGTTCTCTTTTCCTTCTTAGAGCTGTGTTTATTGACCAAGTTCTGTGAGTCACACAGGAAAACCATCCTGTCTCTTTCCCCCCTCCCCATCCGCACTCAGGAATTACATCTGCCAAGCCATTCCACAAGTTGTCTTTCTAGTAGAAGTCAAAATCCATTTCCTCTGGAAGAAAACTAAGGGATGGTTTCCTTGTAGCAGTAAGATGATGTTGGGTGCACCTCTCACGTTCTGGTTAACACATCCCACATATGTTTTCCCATTTGTAGAAAAACAAGATTATTCAGTAACTCATTTATTAAATTCTCAATAATATTGTTAGAAGCACTGTTGATATCATTTTTCTGTAATAGAAAAAGCATTAAACTGATGTCAAGAAATCTGATTTCTAGTTCAGTTCTGCCACTGACTAACTGTGTGACTTTGGGTCAGTTACTTAACCTCTGTGGACCATCTGTTTCCCTATCTGTAAAATGAGAGAAATGACATTAGGTAGCTTCTAAGGCCCCTTTCAACTTTAGCAGACAAAGGGAAAATCTAAGTAGCTCAGTAGAACATTCCTTGTGGAGATAGAGGGGAGATTGGGAAAATCTCAACAGTTGTATTTAATGTTGGCTTTTCTTTTAATTTCTAACTGAAATAAAAGTGTAGACTTTTCTGTTTTTACTTCCCCAAAGAATAAGAACATGCCTTTGGGGGAAATAAAAATGTTTGTTAATGGTCCCCAGGTATGCCTGTATTGACTTAGTTCTCATACAAATAATTTAACTATTTTCATTATGGGCATCAGTTATGGAATTATGGGATACTGTATTGGAAACCATTTAGTCTTAGAAACAAAAAGGTAAATATTAACATATATGATATCAATCTTAAGAAACTTGTTTTAGATGTACTCAAAACACCCAGGGACAGCAGCCATCAGTTAAATAAAGCACTAGGTTGAGAACAGAAATGCCAGCGCAGATACCATTGGTGACTTGCCAATTGTAAGTGGTTTTATCTGTTCAATTTAAGGTTTTGATGTAAAACTCCATTTATATATACAGAGATATTTGAATAATATAATGCAAGTTTGTGAAACGAAATTCCTTTAAAGAGAATGATGGACAGACAACCTCTGTAACATTGGTTTCTAAGGTTAATGCTTTGATTTAGTATTGGTTAATTAAATCTCCATAAATGCAGTGTAAAAATAACCTCTCAGAAAATTCTACTGCATAGAGGTGTTACTGCAAAGTTCCAGTTTATACCGAATGGTAATCAGATACCTTTGGAAGCTACAGATTCTTAGACTCCTTGGTACTATATGGAACTAACTTGATTTCAAACTTGGAAACCTTTTTTTTAATGTTAAGAGAAAAATGTAAGTATACAAAGAATACCAAATCAAATCACTAGATTGATTATTTTCTGTTATGTATCCTAAGGATCTTTTTCTTCTTTATAGGGAAAATGCTTTCTGAAAGCAGTTCATTTTTGAAGGGTGTGATGCTTGGAAGCATTTTCTGTGCCTTGATCACTATACTAGGACATGTTAGGATTGGTTATGGAAGTAGAATGTACCACCATGAGCATCATCACCTACAAGCTCCTAATAAAGAAGATATCTTGAAAATTTCGGAGGATGAACGCATGGAGCTCAGTAAGAGCTTTCGGGTATACTGTATCATCCTTGTAAAACCCAAAGATGTGAGTCTTTGGGCTGCAGTGAAGGAAACTTGGACCAAACACTGTGACAAAGCAGAGTTCTTCAGTTCTGAAAACGTTAAAGTGTTTAAGTCAATTAACATGGAAACAAATGATATGTGGTTAATGATGAGAAAAGCTTACAAATATGCCTTTGATAACTATAGAAACCAATACAACTGGTTCTTTCTTGCACGCCCCACTACGTTTGCTATTATTGAAAACTTAAAGTACTTTTTGTTAAAGAAGGATCCATCACAACCTTTCTATCTAGGCCACACTGTAAAATCTGGAGACCTTGAATATGTGAGTGTGGAAGGAGGAATTGTCTTAAGTATAGAATCAATGAAAAGACTTAACCACCTTCTCAGTATCCCTGAAAAGTGCCCTGAACAGGGAGGGATGATTTGGAAGATATCTGAAGATAAGCAGCTAGCAGTCTGCCTGAAATACGCTGGAGTCCTTGCAGAAAATGCAGAAGATTCTGAAGGAAAAGATGTATTTAATACCAAATCTGTTGGGCTTTTTATTAAAGAGGCAATGACTAATCACCCCAACCTGGTAGTAGAAGGATGTTGTTCAGATATGGCCGTTACTTTTAATGGACTGACTCCTAATCAGATGCATGTGATGATGTATGGGGTATATCGTCTTAGGGCATTCGGCCATGTTTTCAATGATGCATTGGTTTTCTTACCTCCAAATGTTTCTGATAATGACTAATAAATTAAACAAGAGCACGTACATGATGATGGTATAGGACATGTGTTGTCATTATTTGTTGTAACAACTGCATATCCAACACAGCAGTATGTTGTTTTTTTTTAATTTGGCGACACTGGTTTAATCACACATTAAAGTTGAGTAATACATTTTTAAATAGGATGGAGTTTTTTCCTTAAAACACATGAAAATTTCAAATGTATTGGAAAGAAATGTTTTAAGAGTAATAATTTTGCAAATAAGGGATATATTTATAAATATATTTATGTGATAAATTCTAAATTATGAACATTAAAAATCTGTGTGGCACATATTTTTGCTGGTTGGTTAAAAATTTTAACATGTCTTTTTAGCTTTCTAAGATGTGCAAATGAAATCTCTAGTTGTGAATTTGTGATTAAAGTTAAACTTTTAGCTATGTGTTTTTATTGCCTCTAATGTTGGTTTATGTTCTAAGCCTCTTTGAATGCCAATGGATTTGCCTTCTGAAAACATACAACCAAGCAACAAAGGAAACGTTCCCAACCAATGTTAAAGTGAAAGTTGAACTCTATCCCTGAGAGAAAAAATGAAAATTAACTTATAAAAGTTAATAATTTTCCTGGGAGCTAAGTTAGGGGCGTTCCTTAGCACACACAATTTCAGTGTAACTCTCTGTACTTCTCTATGCAGATACTGAAGTTTGAATGGTGATTACGAAGAATGTAATATCATAACTGTGTTGTTTCCCGGTGAATCAAGCTCTCACCTGTGGCTTGGATAAAAATGTATCAGTTGAGATTTATTTACTCCTGCTGGGCAAATGAGTCCCATGGAAGTCTCCTTTGAAGAACTTCTTTTGGCAGTCTGGCAGTTTCACTTACCTGAATTAAGTCTGTCCTGTTTTTTGTTTACTTGTTCAAATTCTGAGATTTTTCCTATGTTCATGGTTGCACCACATCCAGTTGTTTTTGGTGTGGAGGCCTTAACCTCACCATTCACTTTGGCTTACCATACTATTTGCCTGATTTCAGTAGCTACCCAGAAGCTTTATCCAGTGGTGGACAAAATAGCTCCTGTGCTTATGAATGTGTGAAATACTTGGAGCTGACTTGTCCTATAATTGGGTCTACATGTGCTATAAGTCAGATCCATAAGCCTCCATAAGGTGTAAGACCATGACACTTTAGAGATCAATATTTCCTGTAACTGACCTCATGATGTTAATGGTCTCCCACAGCTTTTGCAAACTAGAAAGAGAATTTCCTCAAGAGGGCCTCGGGCTTCATCTTATTGGTCATTAGAGTAGTATGGAAACCCTTTGTTTTAATTTATCTTTCCTTATTGAGGCTTTTGGTTAAAATGAAGGGTTATTTTTGAAAAATAATAAAACCTCTTTATATGTTCTAATATATAGAACATATATCTTAGATATATGTTCTTAGATGCAATTACTACAAATCAAATGTTCAGTGTGAGTACAATAAATAGTATCTCACTGAGCGTGACACCCAATTTATAAGTGTCACCTTGTCCCTAACACCAATATATTAAAAAAATGTCTACGGCATTTATCACCTTCAATTATATTCGTGCAGCAGGGAATAGTTGTAATAAATAGATCAGGGAATGCATTCCATTGCTTGACTTTGTGGTAAATGCTAAAGTAACAATTGCCTCTGAAAGCAAATTGATGCTCTTGATTGTATTTTTATACATGAGTATTCCTTTATAAAATATTAGTTGTTGTAAATAATATACTGTCTCTTTGAACTTATTTGTACCCAGTCTTGTGGATAAAAATCTGAATCAGTAACATAGAAAATAGTACCACTGAGGTTGTAGTTACAGATTTGATCACCATACATTTAAGAACTGAAAACTAACCCTAACCCCACTCTGTTATTGGGGAGAGAGTTGGGAAGATTGGAGGTCTAATGAAAATTTATCATGATTGTGATGAATATATTTTACACATGGCTAGAGGCTGCCATATTGGACAACACAGGTCTAATCAATTCCAGAAATGTGAGACCCACTGACTGGGATGTGAATGAGCGAAAACTTGAAGTTTCTTCTAAAAGTTGTATTTATCTTTCTGGTTGTCTTGAATGCTATGGAAATTCCAACCTCACTTTTAGCAGGCCCCAGGCCATCTCCTTGCGTGATTTCAATCACTAGATCTTCTTCTCAAAATTAAAACATTGAATTCAAAGCAAAATATAAATTAGACGCCTTGGCTTTTTTTTTTTTCATGTAGCTAAAAGATTGCTTGTGTATCAAATCTGATTTATGACACCCAGATTTTTCTGCAATGTATTTAAACAAACCCTTGTTGGGCTTGCTTACAAGCAGGACACACCTGTATTAGAAAAGTTACTGAAAGCACAGATTCTGGTGATGATGTTCCACTAATTTTTCCTTCATTTGTCAAGAATATTGTGTTCCTTTTAGTGCCAGCTGACTTGGATTGATGCATTCAATGTATATCTGAGTGGTTAAGTGAAGAGCATGTGTTTGTAAAAGTTTAGCTTTCTTTTGGCATACAAAGAAATTCGGAAGTCTTTGCCAACCTCCCTGCAGAGGAGTCCCCCATAGTTTAATTAAAAATCATCACTCAGAGGCCGGCCCAGTGGTGTAGTGGTTGAGTTTGCACGCTCCACTGCGGCAGCCCAGGGTTCACTGGTTTGGATCCTGGGTGCGGACCTACACACCACTCATCAAGCTATGCTGTGGCAGCACCCCACATACAAAATAGAGGAAGATTGGCAAAGATGTTAGCTCAACGACAAGTTCCTCAAGCAAAAAGAGGAAGATTGGCAACAGATGTTAGTTCAGGGCCAAGCTTCCTCACCAAAAAAAAAATAATTCCAGTATCATCAGAGATAAAAATACTATAAAGTACTTAAAGGGTAATGGGGAAAATGATTTGTTTGGAAAGTATGAAATGATGGTGTATATCTCAGGCCTCTATCATAATAAAGAGAAATCTACCTTTATTCACGTGAAGTCTATACACTATAATATTCCTTGTATATATTAAGTATCTATGAGCTCAACACTAGGCCTACCATTTTGTGGAAAGCAAAAGGAGCCCAAACTCATGACTCATACGGGTTGTCAGTCACTTCATGTAAGCTTTGCATAACCAATAAAACAAGTCATAGTTTATTTTTAGAATATGGTGGTCCTTTTGTCTCAAAAGTCCTCAATTTGATAAATACTATTTCTTTTAACCCACATAATTCCCATTTCTTTAGTAGTTTTCACTGATTCCATGCAAGAATGGCCACATTGGTTATGCTACGCCTTTGGCAATATGGCAAAAGCTTTGGCAGGAAGAGCAAGATCTAAAAATAAGACTCAGATTCTCAATGGATGGATGGGAACGAGGGAGGAAGGATGGCCTTAATATCTGACAGGCTTGCATTTGAAAAAAAAAATAAGAAATGCTTTGATCTAGTGAGTGATTGATGAGACATCCACATAGGTACTCCAAGTGTTGAATAAATGGAGATGTTCTAATAATCAAAACACCAGCCTCATACCATCGGAGGGGAAAGGGGAAAAACTGATCCTTCCTTCTTGACGGAAGACTGAATACTGGCACTGGAGATCTTTTCCGTATTTACCACTCTAAGGCACTCACCTCTAGAAGGAACCTTCAGGGAATACTGCCCATTCTCCATTCCAGTGCCATCCAATAGAAATAGAATGTGAGCTACATGTGTAGTTTTACAGTTTCAAGTAGCCATATTAAAAAAGACACAAGTGAAATTACTTTTAGTATATTTTATTTAGCCAAATATGTCCAAAATATTGTCATTTCAACATGTAATCAACAGAAAAAAACTGAAATAGTTTACATTCTTTTTATGCTAAGTCTTTGAAATCCAGTATGTATTTTACAGTTACAGCAAAGGTCTAACCAATTCCAGAAGTGTTAAACCCCTTCCTCAGCAGGGGGCTGGCACGTGAACGGGAGAAAATGTGAAGTTTCTTCTAAAAGTCCTATTTATTTTTCTGTTTGTCTTGAATGCTAAGGAAATTGCAACCTGACTTTTAGCAGGCCCCAGGCCATCTCCTTGCATGAGTTCAATCACTAGATCTTCCTTCTCAAAATTAAATCATTGAATCCTCCTCCTCAAAATTAAATCAGTGAATCCTCCTTCTCAAAATTAAATCATTGGATCTGGAGCAAAATGTAGATTAGACCCCTCAGAGTTTTTCCTTAGATTATTACTGAACCAAACTCCTCCTGTCAATCATTTTTTTAATTTCCATAATGTTTTATTATCTCAAATAATCTACTTTTATTCTGTCTCTATCATTCATACTATAGTTACTAAATTTTAGTGTATTGGTTTATAAAATTTACTATTTACAAAATTTAAGCAACACTCAAACGTTATAATCAAATGCCGTAGCCCAGAAAACATTCCTAAAGTAGTTGTTGAAGTGCTTTGAACACTGACGGTATTACCATGGACAAGGGAGGAGCTTCTCAGACTGTCGTTAATTTTAATATTCACTAATCCTTTTCCTCATCTATCTTTTGGATATATTGATAATCTCAAAGCAGCTACCAGTCCTGCCTTTGCACATTACACTCAATACTTTCATCTCCCCCACTTCTTAACTAACCCTCCCCCTTGTATCCTTCTCTAAAAAAATCCAGCAAAGGCTTCTAAATGGCATAACCCTTTAAATGGCCACAAATCACCTGGTGACTAATAATAGCAAAAGTTCAGACCTCAGGACTGAGTCCAATTTCAAAAGATTCTTCCAGTATACCCTTGCTGATGAAGAGGGAAACAAAAACATTCCCTCAAAAGCACAAATAAGACACTATTTGCAACCCACTCATCGCATTCAAATCCTACACACATTTTCCCACTGTGGAACAGAGGCTTGGCCAACTTATACTCTCTAATAACTCATAAACAAAGATAGTGATGCGACTGTGGGCTGAGGTTAACATTTTATGAAATGAGGGGAGATTTCCCGTAGAACAGGCTTTGCAACCAGGCAATTCAAATCCCAATTCTGCCATTTATTAGCTATGTATCTTCAGGAAAGTTACACAATCCCTCTGGAGCCTTAGTTTCCTCATTTGTAAGATAAGAACTAAAATCTACCTCAAGGAAACATGGTAAAGATTCAGCTTAATATGTCATTTGAGCTTGTGCATACAGTAGGTGCTCAGGGAATGTTATTCCCGTTCCCTCTTACCCATTTGAACAAGAGTAGCACGTTACACAGTTAAATATGTATCAATCCTTTTTATTAAATATCTTGATAAAATATTGGTGTGAATAACAGCTGGTATTGAATATTCAAATTCACAAGGGAACTCCTTAATTAATAGCTTTAAGATAACATCTGTGCCATACACTAAAACAGCTCTTCCTCAAACAGCTTTTTTATAAAGTAAATATTTTTTAAGGAGAAATTCAGAAGTTGCTTTTAAGAACATTAACTTAGAACACATTCCCCTTTCACGGCAAATTAGACATTATTGGAGCCAAAATTGCCCAAATTGGTATAGTTTCTATCTCCTTTACTTTAATCAAGATGTTTCTCTTTATATCAGCAAAAACCACTGCTTAAGTGAGACTCCTGCATTCCCATTAAATGCATCTGGGCATTTGGTGCTTGAGTGAGAATTGCGTTTGACAACACCCAGAAGCTAATGAGGCCATGTGCCTTCTCTCAGACCTCTGCACTTGAGAGGAAGAAAGCGGAATTACCTTGCGGACTCCTTTCAAAACATTTTAGAAAATATAAAATTTTCACCTCGTAAAACACGACATAAAATAAGTGCAGTATGTGTCCAGGTTTTTATTACATTTAGCCCCTAGTATTTTTAAAACAGAATAAAGCATTGCCACTGAAAAATATTTTCCAGTCATGTGCTTTTTGAAAGTTATTTAGGAGATAGATATTAATTTGATGGGTTAGAGATTGCTGTTATCCCAGTAAATGAAGCTGTTTCTACTCCATGTTCAAATACATGTCAGGTTGAACTTTCTTAAATCTAAAATGCTGACAAAAGCAAACTTTAGAAAGAACTTAGTCATGCAAAAGCATACTTTCTCCTAATCCTGGATAAGTCAACTCTCTAAGAATGCTGTCCAGAGCCTACAGGGTGAAAAGGACTCTCCTCCCATCCTCCTCACCCTGCCCAATCTAGTCCAGATGTTTAAGTGCACAGTGAGTTTTGGCTTTAAGAAATGAATTCTGAATAGGACAGCATGAGAACTGAGGAAAGCAGTATCCAGACTAAGAAGTACATAAAAATCTTCCAGATCATGAGAAACTAAAAATGTGTTAAAACATCAGTATGCAGGAACAGACCTTTCAAGCCCCACTGATAGGGAAGCAAAGCTAGGAGAAAGGGCATGCTGCTTTTAAAAGTTGTCTCAAATTTAAGCTCATTCAAGGACTATTAATAACCTAAATGCAGTTTCATCACAAAATCATCTTATCGGTTTGCAAGTTTCCAAGCCTCAGGACTTCATCATGCATCAACATAGAAGGACAACCCCAGTATTTGGGGACAAAGACAGAAAGTGTCCCCTTTTGAAATAGAAGTTGGTAAGAATAAAACTTAATTGCCTAACCTCAAAAGTCTCCCCAGTATGGCTTTCCCTGAGGCAAAAAGGGAACTGAGTTTGATTTGTTTTCAAGGCATATGTTTGGAGAAATGGCACCTTCTCCAAGCAAATGCTGAAATAATTTATTGCTTAAAACAGTCTTGGAGGCTGGCCTGGTGGCACAGTGGTTAAGTGCACATGTTCCGCTTTGGCAGCCTGGGGTTCGCCGGTTCGGATCCCAGGTACGGACATGGCACTGCTTGGAAAGCCATGCTGTGTTAGGCATCCCACATATAAAATAGAGGAAGATGGGCACGGATGTTAGCTCAGGGCCAGTCTTCCTCAACAAAAAGAGGCGAACTTATGGCAGATGTTAGCTCAGGGCTAATTTTCCTCAAAAAACAACAAAAAAACCACAGTCTTTTGCTCACACGCTTGTGAAAATGAGAAATTACTTATTTCACCATAAGAGATTAAATGACAGTTAATAGTTATCATTGACAATCAAATCTTATGATAAAACATAAAAATAAAATTAGAAGAAAACAAAATTAAATCTTTGTATCTTTTAACGTTAGGGTTTTTCCCCCATGGTAGAGTTCTGAGAACACTTACAATGAACTGGAAGGGAGTCAAGTGAATGATTATGCCTTAGAAGTCCTCCATATTCACATATTGGCTAAAATTAAAGTATTTTAAAATTGGGGAATGGAACAAGAGCAATAAAAATTAGGATGTAGAAATCATGATTTGTTTTACTTTTAAAATGGGACCTCAAAAATGTATAAGAGAGAGCCAGCCTTGATGGGCTACTGGTTAAAGTTCAGCACGCTCCACTTTGGCAGCCTGGGTTTCTTTCCTGGGCATGGAACCATACCACTCATCCATCAGAAGCCGTGCTGTGGCAGTGGCTCATATAGGAGAACTAGAAGGACTTACAACTAGAATATACAACTATGTATTGGGGCTTTGGGGAAGAAAGAAAATGTATAAGATAATCCATTTAATTATAGAATTGGACAATAATGAGGCATGTCATTCTCTGTAACAACTAGAGTTTTAAGTAGAAATTATTTCACTAATCTTTTATTTCTCAAAGTGTTCAAGGATAAAATTTGGTGTTAGTTTTTCACTCTAAGAGGCAAATATTAATACTACTAATTAGTTTGGATGTTTTTTATCTATTTTTCCTCCCCATGACCTGTTCTAATGAACATTATATTAGGAGAAATTCCAGTGAATCATCTCTTCTATCTCTTTCCATACATAAATTATATTCTCCAAGAGGCCAGCCTCTTAGACCAACCAACCAACCTGCCTAACAGTCTCAACATAAATTTAAAAACTGGTTCTCAATGCCGTTCATTCATTCCTATTCTGATGGAGTTGTAGTCCTTTACAAGTACTTAGTTTTAGTTTTAATACAACATTAAACAAACTGGTATTATAGTTCATTATATCTACTCATTCTTTTATCTGCTATAAAAAAGTAAAGTATACATACAAAGTGTAAAAACATAGTAATACAAAGTATACATTTACATGCATCAGTCTCCATGTTGACAGTCATGATTTCTTTAGGAACTACTGCTGAGACTGGGATATTAAGAATACAATTATATTTGGGCTAATTTTTACTGCCTTAATACAGTTAATAACACATTAAACATTAAATGTTCTAAAGGGCTTTCAAAATATTTTTTAATGGCCTAACTCTTACAGGTTATTGAATAACTTGGGTAAGTTTCTGATTGCTTGAGACCTCAGAAGTGATGGTTATATGGACATAAGATGCATACATTTTCATTTTGTTTCTTTCATTATTAATCAGTTTTAGTGGATACTCCTTTAGAAATTGGAACATTTTGAGTTTCCTGAAGAGCCTCGAGAGAGAGATTCTCAAAATTAAGGAACCTAGATAAACAAAGTTAAAATGTTTACCACATTTTGTTTGGGTATACATTCATTTCATATTCCCATTAATATATAATTGCTACATTATTAATATTCTCATGAACAATAAAAAATGAAATATTTACTATAATGAAATACTTCTGCAAATACTCAGATTGTAGGTTGACTTAACACAAAATTAATTTTCAAACTAAAAATGAACTGAAGACACAATGCCTCAGAGAAAACAGGCTCCCCCTGTATTCCTGCTCTTAGGAATGTGGGTAAACTAAGTTTCCTTTAAGCAGAGTGCCCAAAGAGGCTGATATATCTGCTAGTTTAACCTGTTTGAATTCGCTTCCCTGCATGACCTAATGTTTAGAAACTGACCAGGCTCCCATGTGTAGAGTGACACCCCTGTTTAACACCATGACCTGAGGACTCAGATCCAGGGGAAGCAGGAAACATACATATTTAGTCCACATCACCAAGGCAACACAGTCAGTGTACCTCGGTATAGTAGAAAGACAAGCACTGATGATGTTGTATATTTTAAAAGTGTTCCCTACACCCACCATAATAGTGGTTAGAAACAAGGATAAATTATTTCAGAAACCCAGGAATTAAAGGTTTTAACTTCTCTAATATGTGTGTGTGCTTTGTTTTTCATTGCTAACACTCCATAGGCAATCTTGGTCAATTAACATTAATCTTAGTAGTACCAAAAAGAAAGGTTCAAGGTTTGGTTTGGACATAAATGACCTATATATTCTCTTTGTAAGAATATAAGGAACTACAGGCTTCAAATAGGGTGCCTCATCCCCTAAATGGGGAGACATACGAATCTGAAACCAGTAAATCAGCATAAAATGAGACTATCTAAAAGATGATTTATAAATGTATTACTGATGAGACTATTTACACTTTTATCCACCAGGAATAAATAATATAATATGATAAGTTGTAAAATATAACTGTCATAACAAAGGAAAATATTCTACATAGAACTTAAAAAGGATATAGGAAGTAAAATATCAGAACACCTCTACAGCTTAGCAAAGAGAGATTTTGGCAGACATAAGCATTCTAATTGATGATGAAGCAGGATAAATTCTCTAAACCTTACGCCAACCCAGATGAAACAGTCCCCCAAATTATCAACCTTCCTTTGCTCTTATCCATGTTCACCAATAAACTTCCTGTTTACTAATTGCTTACTCTAAGCAGACTTATCACTATAATTTAATACATTTACATTCTAATGTGGGAATCTCCAAGTCTTATAAGTTTCATTAGTGGGAAACAGTTTCTCGTTCTGAGGATCAGACCCTGGATCTATAACCTTCACCTATGTTATTTCTTGGGAGGCCAAGCTGTAACAGCCAGCCAAATGGTCTCTCTCTTTTTACTATCCACCCTCACCTTTCTCACCAACTTCTAACTGTAACACAGGTCACCACAATCTTGTAAATGTCTGTATCCATCTGAAAAATAAAATCACACGTCATATATTTGTAAACAACCAAATGAAGATGGCTGAGACACTAGAATAACAGCAAGGTTATTAGGAAGAAGGGCCTATTATCACTATATAAATTCACCATATAAATTCATAACTGCTCATTTAACTCCCCAAACAGTTTACTGTCCTTACTGAAGTAGGTCACGGCCTTCATATGCCACTTATGATAGGAGATACACATTCTTGGGGGAATACAGTGGGGACCCAAATCTGGAAGTCCTGGGCATCTGTGTAGTAAGATTTTACCTGGCTTCAAGAGAAGGCACTAAATAAATTGAACCTGAATCTGATCAAGCCAATCTGTTTACAGGCTATACATGGGCATAAAAACAAGTTAAATTACTTTACAGTGATACAATCAACAAAATACAGAATGTGGGAAGAAACTCTATAAGACAAAACTAGATTTCTTAAATAATTAATTTAAAGGGGAAAGGGAGGAGGGGGAACTTACAGATTAAAAGAGACAAATAAATAATAACCAAATGCAATATATGGACCTTGTTCAGTACCTATTTCTAGCAAACCAACAGTTTAAAAAAATTAAAAGAGAGACAATCAGGTCCTTTTGTCACATATTTGAACACAGTCTAGATATTTAATCATATTAGGAAATAGTTAAATTTTTTAAGTGTGATGATGGTATTGTGGTTATGATTTTTATTTTTAAAAAACCACTTATCTTTTAAAGATACATATTAAAGTACTTATGAATGAAATGATATATCTGAGATTTGCTTCAAAATAATCAGGGAGTGGGCTGGGAAGGAGTGAGATATAGATATAAGATTGGCCATGAATTGATGCTGGGTGACGGTATGATACAGAAAAGGTCCATTATACTGTTCTCCCTATACTTTTATAAATGTTTGGAATTTTCCATAATGAAAAGTTCAAAAACAACAACAAACAAACAAAAAACACATACAAAAGAAAAGGGGCCCTGGGTTAATGGAATAAAATTCCCGCTCTAGCTGCCCAGTCTAGCCCAATTAAGCAGTTAGATTCTCTGGGGGGTCAGCCATATACTAGCAACTTCCTTTACAGTCCTGCCCTTCCTCTTACATCATTAGTCTAAGAAAGGGCATTAAGTTGTCTGAGTTTGGTTACTTACCGGATACCTCTTAATGTCCAAGTTTGTTACTCAATTTTAACTTGAGTTTAAGAAAAATTAAAATAATTTTTGAAGCTAACAGAATTTTAGCATCTGTTGCATTTATTCAGCATAACCACAGAGGTACTGTCTTCATGCTGTCACACACAGACACAAACACAGATACAGCACAATATCCATATTTAGCCCAAGTGCATTTCTTCTGAGGCTCATTTATATGTCTTCATATGCCACAGCCCATCATTTAAATAATGGATATTTTCAATGCCAATTCCTTTGTTGACTTTCTCACTGTAGAAGGAAAAAAGCACATAAACATATTGTTATGCATTTTTATAGGCTTACTCACGGTAAATATAATTTAAAGTGCATTGCTATTTTGCAATTATTGAGCCACATGTAGGGAATTTATTTATATTACACATTATTGTCTACGTTAAACTACATTACTCTGCTGCAGTTCACATCTTAAAGTGACTCTAGTGATCTGACTAGTGGGTCTATAGAAACAGACTAATGATGTCACCATACCAGGAGAACATCAAAGTGTTACAATTAACCCTGAAACTAAATTAATAGGAACACTTTGGTCATCAAATGAGTTACAAAGTTTTTAAATATGTTGACTATATTTTGACAATTTATCTTTAATATTTCCTTAATATTCTATACCACCAGCTCAAGATATAAGATAAATACTGTGTGGTGCTGAACTATGTCACTGTTTTAAAAACTAGCAGCAAAACATCTTTCCCTCCACCCAATTTAAATCATACTAAATAAAAAATTCCTAAAATACCACATACATACATATAAAACAGCTGTGTTGGCACACGAGTTCTTTTCAGGGTACTTAAGAAAGAATGCAACCTGGAGACAAAATAGGTGGCAATGACTTCCTAAAGTGTTAGGAAAAATCAGAAGTGAGGCTTCTGTGCTTAAATATTTGTAAGATGTGGTATGAATGAGAGCAAATTTCACCTGTAATTCTGATGCTTCCTGCATAGGTTACCCATATCTCAAAAGCTAAGGGGCCTAACATGAGACTTACATATCTTCTGCAGACATCTTCATGACTCCAACACACAGAGCATGCTGTTTTCCTTCTGCCATGATTGCCTGAAAACACACAGCTAAGAAAACTATTTATCTATCAAAATGCCTTGGAGAGGGGGGTGTCAAACAATAATAATCCTACTAGTTAAGCCACTTTGAACCCATTTTGTATCCTCACCTAGACCATTAACTCCTTCAGGGCAGAGACCTAGGAGATTCTGTGGGCACGCTGTAAATACTCAGTAAATGGTAGATGAATTAATCTAATAATCATTCTTGATTTTTAAGTCAAATGTTAATACTATAACCCAGTGCCAACAAAACCAGAATAAGTCATAAAAAAGGAGATAAAATTTCTTACACGTGAATATGAAAAATTATGAATAAATATCAATTGTTCCAGTGTTTTAATCACTGAATGGTGGTTTTATATAAAGTACACATTAAAACAATAATTATATCCCCAAACTATCTTTAAGAACCCAATGTAAGTTTCAACCTTTCTAGAACCAGAATGTTCTTGATTATCATTTGAAGCATCTAGAATGTTAAACACTGCAGCACGTACTTTAAAAAGTAAAAGTTCAAGGGTATACAGTACCTCTCTGTACTAGTTTTGTAACTTTCTAAAAGTCTATAATTATTTCAAAATAAAAATTATTTAAAAAGTAAAGGCTAGATACTGGGAAAATCTTCCATTTAAGAGAAACTCCAGAACTATAAACTTACCACACTTAAAAAAACCATAAACTTGAAAGGGTAATCTGTCCTCACAGAATACTTTTTTCCATTGGTTTTCAATTCATTCATTCAAATGTTCCACAAATATTTGAGCACCTATTATGTGACCAGTATCTATGTCAATACAAGCTGTTTCTAAGATATAAACATACAACTTACACTAGCCCTTAGATGTAACTGCCATAACAGAGGGCATCCTTCTTGTGAACACAGGACACATTCTTTTTTTTTTTTTTTGAGAAAGACTGGCCCTGGGCTAACATCCGTGCCCATCTTCCTCCACTTTATACGTGGGACACCTACCACAGCATGGCGTGCCAAGCAGTGCCATGTCCGCACCCGGGATCCGAACCAGCAAACCCCAGGCCACTGAGAGGCGGAACGTGCAAACTTAACCACTGTGCCACCGGGCTGGCCTCGGGGACACATTCTTAAACCGATTCCAATGGCCCGCCCACTCCACAATGATTTCCGCATTCCCACCAAGTATGGTTCCTTTTCTGAACCTGACACAAATGGCCACCTTATCTATGACAAAGAAGATGTCCTTTTGTCCAGAGTAGTTGACAATAACCTATTTAATCTACATTATAGCTGAAACAGCACGGTAGAAATGGAAATAATGCAGAATTGTTCAGCAACATTATGAGTTGAATAACTCCTTAAGGACTATCTGGGACTAACATTTCTCTTTGAGAAAACATGTTCTGAGCCCCAAACAACCAACTTAAAATGAATTTTAAAATAAAAGTTGGGGATTGCTAATATTTCCCAATATCCACTTCTAACACCCTACCTAGTGCCTAAGTTCTTTTCCCTTTTGAGTGCTTTTCCTCCAGTGTATCTGGGTAAGTCAAATGTCATAGCAGCAAACTGATGTCCAAAGAAGTGATCCAATCATATCATATACATCCTCTCCATTAATAATCAAGAGTTTCATACCGTGTCCTGAGTCTGATAACATTGGGCCTATCTGGGCTGAAATGCAGCTGGGACTCTTTTATTACTTGTTCTCATTTAACTTCTAAAATGGGACATAATCTAGTCTCAAGAAATAATGCTACTTCCCACATCTTCAAATGTAAGCAGAAAGGCATGAGACAACAGTAATCTCCAAAAAAGCACATCTGATGTTCTCTTGGATGACAGATCTTTCAGTAACGACAAGAATACAATGAATACATTTTTCAACAGTTATAGCCTGGGAAGGATACAACAATCGTATCTACTGCAGCAGGGTAAAGTTTAGCTCCAGGAGAAGTTAAGCCTGGACACATGATATTTGCTCCACTGAGTACAAATTTGATGGCTCCTTTATCAACCTGTTGGTGTGGCAGGATAAAAGGATCTAGAAGAAAAGAAATACATAACATATATTAATAAGAATAATGACTCAACAGGAAAAGGCAAAGGACATGAACAGATATTTCCCCAAATTATAGTACTCTGACAGGTGCAAAATAAAACGGAAACGCCATCCTTCACTAATCAAATTGGTAAATATTTGTAAGCAATTTCCAATGCTAGCAAGAATGTAGGAAAACTGGCATTCCCACATACTGCTAGTAGGCTTACAAACGGGTACAACCTTTCTTTAGGACTATTTGGCAAGATGTATTAATAGCCTTGAAAAGGTTCAAACTCTTTGACTCAGTAATTCTACTTCTAGGAACTTATCCTAGGAAAACATGAGAGATGTACAATATATTTAGGTAGAAAGATATTCACTGCAGCACTAATATTTACATCAGAAATAAACTAGAATCAACCTAAATGTCCAACAGTAAAGTAAGAGATAAATGATTTGAGGTATGTCTATAATATCTATATAAATAGAAGCATGGTTTTGGAGAAAATGTAATCACTTGGAAATGTTCATAATATAGTGTTAAGAGGAAAAAGCAGAATAAAAAACTACCAAAAAGATCAGTGGTTGCTAGGGGGTGGGGGGAGGGGATAAGGGAAGGAAAAATAGGCAGAGCACAGAGGATTTTCAGGGCAGTGAAACTATTCTGTATGGTCCTAAAACAGTGGGTAGATAACATTACGCATTTGGCAAAACCCACAGAACGTATAACACAAAGAATGAACCCTAATGTAAACTATGCTCCTTGGTTAATAATAATGTATTGATATTGGTTCACCGATTCTAACAAATGTATCACACCAATGCAAAATTTTAATAACAAAGGAAGGGGGGAGAAGTATATAAGAACTCTGTACTTTCTGCCCAATTTTTCTGTAAACCTAAAACTGCTCTAAAAAATAAAGCCTATAAGTTAAAAAAAACTAACAGAGAGCCCAATTTAAAAAGGAAAAAAATATACATTTACACAGATACACACACAACACAGGAAATAACTGGATGGAAGTACACTGATATACTAACAATGGTTATCTCTAGGTCATGGGAATACAGGTGACTTTGTTTCTGTATTTTCCAAATCTCTAGAATGAACACATTCCCTTTGTAATCTTAAAAAATTTATTTTCCTGTGTGTATGTGTGTCTACAAATGATTCATAACCTAACAATTAAAGGATCCCTGAAGGAATTAAAACAATGACTGGGGGAAAAACTTTTTAGGGTTCTCAGGGCTCTCTAGAAATAATAACAACAATAATGGGTAAAATTCATTCATTTTAATATCTTACCACTAGCCCTCCCACTAGTCAGAGAACAAGTAAGTCTTTTTCCTACCAAGACTACAAATTAATTTAAACATGGCTCCAAATTAATATAAACATCTTACTGATAAAAAGGAACCTGAATGAATGAATGCATTTACTACTCACAAGCCATAATTTGTTTTCTAGATCTCCATCCTCATTAGTATCTTCCCTTTATAATGATGATGATGATCCTGATCATGATGATGAAAATAAATAGTAGTAGTGGACATTTATTGAACAATTACTACAGCATGATAATGGCTATCATATATTGAGCACTTACTATGTCCTAGGCATTGTGTTAGCTGCATTACATGCACTATCTCATTTAATCTTCACAATCCTGGGAGATGTAATATACAATTGTGTCCATTTTTAAAGATAAGAAAACAAGGCTTAAACAGGTTAAGTGACTTGACAAAAGTGACATGCACTGAGAATCGAACCCAGATCTGCCTAACTCCAAGCACATACTTTTAACCACCATATTATCCTGCTTCTTGCACAAGAATAACTTTAAGATGTTCTAAAAGTTTGTTTCCCAGCAAAATATTATTAAATAGGAACATCTTTTTCTTCTAATTTATTATGAAAATGTTTAACATATAGAAAAACTGGAAGAACAGTTCAATGAACACCTGTGCACCATCCATTTAGACTCAACAACTGTTCATTAACACTTTGCTATATTTGCTTTACCTCTTTCTATTTATACACACACATTCTTTCCCTCTACAATTTGAAATTTCAGAAATGACGCTTCACCATAAATAAGCACACATCACCTAAGAATAAAGTCATTCTCCTACATAACCACAATACTAGTATAATACCTAAAAATTTAACAACAGTTCTATAATATCATATTATAGCTAAACCATATTCAAATTTTCCCCAACAGTCCCAAGAAAGTCTTTTATATCTATTTTGCAGAGAGGAGGAGTGCTTGAATTTTGTGTTTTTCAAACCAGAATCCAATCTAGATTCATGCAATACATTTGATTATTTTGTCTCTGTTCTCTTTTAGTTGAGTAGGAATTAATGTCATCAAAATGTCTTAATGTTACCAAAGTATTTTCATTTTAAACATTTTCCCATTGCATCAGGACACTTTCTCTCCATTGTGGTTTTTTTAACCTGATGAAATCAATACTTAATCAAATAATTGTAAATATTCTTTTATAAACATTAAAGTGCTTCACCTCTTTTAAGACGTGCCTAATAGCTTTACTGCTCCAGACCTCTGCTCCACCAGGTAATTCATAATTTATCTCCTCTTACCAAAAACCAAACTCATTAATTAAGTCATCAATACCACCTATAGAGCCCGCCAGTCACTCCCTTTCTGCCTCTTGGCTAGAATACCAGATACATACTAGTTTGAAAAGCAGAAATTTTACTTCACAGTTAAAAACTGCTTGTGCAGGGGCCGGCCTCGTGGCCGAGTGGTTAAGTTCGCGCGCTCCGCTGCAGGCGGCCCAATGTTTCATTGGTTCGAATCCTGGGCGCAGACATGGCACTGCTCATCAAACCGCGCTGAGGCGGCATCCCACATGCCACAACTAGAAGGACCCACAACAAAGAATATACAACTATGTACTGGGGGGCTTTGGAGAGAAAAAGAAAAAAAAATAAAATCTTTAAAAAAAAACTAAAAACTGCTTGTGCACTGGGACTGTATCTTCCCTTGGATTTTCTTTTGTAATGTACTCAATCTAACAACATGCAAAGGTGGATACTTAATAAACATTATTTTGTTTCATAACACCTGACCTTGGCACTCAACTTACAATAACTGGGACTCCCACAATTACCCAATGCTTTCCCTTATACAGAATTATCTCTATGAGGCAAATCTAGATACAAATTTAAAAGAAAATGCTCACAGCATTTATCATAGTTTGGGAATATATATTTGTGTAATTATCCAATTGTTGTCTATTCCCCCAACTAGACTGTTGACTTCAAGGGACAGAGACCACGTCTGTCTTTGCTTCCCATCACATTCTGAGTACTTAGCTCAATGCCTGGAACATAGTAAGTTCAATAAATATTTGTTGAAAGGATGAATGAATGCTCTTTCTTGGGCTTTCTGGAATGCATGATGAAAGAATTTGCATTTTTCAGATTTACCACAAGATGGGGATTCATCTAAGTTTTATATTCCATATTACCTAGTACTAATAAATAAGTTAACTACCAGAAGTCACTTTCAACACCTTTTTTGTCTCTTCATATCCCCAAATACATAATTTCTAACAAGACTTACATTTGTGAAGTAACCTTAGGGTTGGATAAAAAGGGCCTTCTCTTTGTCTAAAAAATAGTAACTCTCCGTTTACTGTAAGGATTTCTATATGTTCATGGCTGTAAGACAAATGTCACAAAATACCAAGTTAGATATTTTCTTTCAAAAATGAATATGCCAAACATCATTTAAATAATGTATAATATGAAACATGCATATACAGAGATACAGCAAACTTTTAATTTCAATAAAGATATGGGTAAAAAAACATTGTTTAAATTGTTTTACCTACCATATCAATGCAGTAGGAAAAAAGAGAAAAATATGACCTACTACTATTTTACTTCACATTTTGTTATTTTAATTTCACTGTTAGATAATTCAATAAAACAAATCTTTAAAGTATAAATGGAAATAAATTAAATCCAATTCTAAATAAAAACATCTAACTCTTTAATAAAACAGTACACAAAGCCACATTTTTCACAAACACAGAAAAACATTTGAAAATACAAATATTGATGTTTTATTCTATTCATCTACTCCCACAATTAATCTATCAATAGTTAATGTGAAAATAACTCCATTTTTTATGAGTGCAATCTAATTATACAACATTCAGCTACTCTGAGCTTTACATAGAGAAAAATAAAGACTTACCATCTCACTATTTTGACAGGATCTTTCTTAGGCATGATTTGATTAAGCCATGGTTCAATAACTGGAAATTGCTCTACCAATTGGTTCTTAATACCCTTTATAACTGAGGTTTTCAACTGGATGCAGTTGGACACATTTTCTTTTTCATCGAATCTGCCAAATGATTTTTGCAAGAAAAAAAGGCATTTCTAAGAAGACATATCAGAACAGCTAAAGGTATTGTTTTAGTCATCTATTCCCAAGCAAGTATTTAGATGCCTAAAATAATTATGAAATGAATTGTTTTTAAAAATACCATTTCCCTTTTATTCTGTCCAGCACAAAACCAACGTCTTAATACACCATTAAAATAAGCTGTCATGTATACACAATTAGTGGGGGTAGGGGGAGAATATGAGGCATATTTCACATTATAATCTGTAATCAGCTACACAAATGCCTTTCCTGGAAAATCTTACTCACTTCTACCCAGGAAGAAACAAAGATTCCCATCTAACAAAACCTGTGTGAAAAAACAAAAGAAAATAGAAAACCCCCCAAGTGTTGAAATACAAAAGATCAACCCAAATGTAATACAGAAAATCGGCACCTGTTAGGCTATGTAATCTGCCGAGATTTTTTAAAAAGTGATGATGATGATGATGATTTCTAAGATCCCTATTTATTTTTGCTCAAAATGTCATGCAAAAAACCCACCTTCCTTTGCCCATTTTCCCCCTTTGCTTTTTGTGTCTACCAAATCTGGAAGGCAAACAGACTAGGTTGGTTCCCAAAGACTTTTTGTCTTCCTTACACTGAATAGCCTATAAGGCAATCACGCTATTTTTAAGCCAAGGTTAATCTGGCAGCTAGGCAAAAGGCATGACAGGCCGCTTGCTTCCTTCCTGTCACCCAGACTCCTTCACTCCCATGACCCAGGAAGTCAAGCCTTCCCTTATCCAGTTCATAACTAATAAACATACGGCACTGAGTGCAGGGCTCTCCTCTCAGCTAAAGAGGATATGCCCCTAAATCACAGCGCAAGGATGTAATTGGTAGAACCCCAGGAATGGAAATAGGACTGGGAGAGGGGGAAAAAGAGAGGCAAGGAGAAAGAAAACAAGTGCGGGAGGTCCGAACCCCTATTGAGGATTAGGGATGGGAAGCTTAAAGAAGTGTTGCAAGTGAGAGCATAGTATTATAGAAGATCTTAGGGAATAAGGATGGCAGGGGTAGGGGAGAGAGAAATAGGATCTTTGCTCTCGCCCTCTTCCCCACCCCCACCGCCTTTGTGAGCAGCCGACGGAGGCCACAGCATGTCCTTACTTCTTGAACATGATCCAAGGTGAAGGGGGCGACGATAGGGAAGGGCCCGGAATGGGGAAAAAATTGAATTAGCAAGGGTCAGGCAGATCCCCTTACACGAGGAAGGCCGGCACTGACAGTCGGAGCTGTTGTCGTTTTCCGGAAAGGGAGACAGGCAGCCGCACTTTACGCTTCTCAATGAAATTTGACTACTTCCGCTCCTCTGAACACGTCGGCGCTTTTGCCGCCCCTTTTTGGGCTACCGATTCCTCTCCAGAGCGGATAGCTCAAAGGGCGGGACTTGAAAAGGAAGAACAGATAGAGCAATCGTCGTAGTTGCAGGAAGAGAAGAATGGACGGGGCGGGGAAATCAAGCCAGGCAGCATTTATGGCAGTTGCGTCAGTTACGGGTTCCTCAAAGGGTCAAGATTATTCCGTGTTTCGCTGCTACCTACTCTTAGCCTAAATAATTTTTTAGTGGAAATGGTTTTTGTGCCCTGAGGCAACCGAATGGATTGGTGCTTAAGGACCAGCATGAACTCAGGCAAGCCTTATGCCATCATGTTAATGTACTCGTGGGCTTGCCAAATTTAGCAAATAAAAATGCAGGACACACAGATCTCAGTTTTAGATAAACAATGAATACTTTTTTTAGTATAACTATACCTCGTGCAATATTTGGGACATACTTATACTAAAATAATTCCTTGTTAACTGAATCTAATTGGGCGTCCTGTATTTTAATCTAGCAACTATATTCACGGGCCACAGTGAGGTGACCCCATAGAATTATTCACTAGGTTGCCGTCCCCTGCCTCACACCCATACCTATCACGTTGAGCTATAAATCAAGAGAGGTAATCTCCTTGAATGATAGAATGGCCTCTAGGCGAGCAATACTAGACTAACTTGATTGAAGAGATAACAGCTAAAGAATCACGGTTTACTGATGTAATTTTAAAAAGGAGAAAGAATCAAGGGTTTTGATCGGCAAAGAAAGCATAGAAAAATATAAAACCTAAACAGGCGCTACTCAAGCGGTGGGGTGGATGTGCCCTGACCTGGAAAACAAATACACCAGCCTCTCCAGGGGAAAATACTCTATACTGGGGAAGATGGGAGCTTGGAGCAATCATAACAAATGCTACTATGTGTTTGAACTGTACAACTAACTCACCTTGCCTTGATTCTACAGTAGCAATAATCTTCTGATTATAATTTAGCTTCCCATGACCATCTGCCTGGAAAGAATTTACTGTTTTCAAATCAAATCTGCATGAACAATAGTTTGTCTTTGTAAATTAATAAATTGACATCCTGGTTTATACATCAGTCTCTTGTGAAGGTCCTTAGCGTGAATCCGCATCCTCAGCATCAATCAACTCTGTGGCATTTAGAATATTGAGTTTATGAACATGCAAAACTGAAGCCCAGACCCCAAGCTATGATTAGTGCTACACCGCTGGGCTTCTTGCCAAACAGCTTTCCTCTCCTGGCAACTCTCACATCGCTCTGGGAGCCTACCATGTAACAATAAATACATTATATCAGCAATAAACAGTTATTATTAAGTAGTTTGAGATGAGTGAAAATATGTAATTTTTATTTGGTCTATATGTGATAACACCATAGTAATACCTAAATGTTCCACTAGTAAATAAAATTTAACTTGATGGACTCAAAAATTAACACCTACATGGATTTCCTAATTTCTTGAACTTTTTGTTTGAGAAAGCTTCTAATTTTAGACTTATTAAAAAGTATTATGCTGAATATTTGCAATACTAGAATTAATAGCTAACTTTTAATTCTATAAAAATTATACATACTCTAAATTATAACAAATCCCACATGCATGGGAATAGATATATAGCTACATGTACATACATATTTCAATCCACTTTCATACACTCTGATAATCACAGAAACCGAATCTGGCTTATGACAGATGCCAAGTTAGGTCATTAGTATTAAAGAGGTGTTTAGTTCTGCAAGTGTGCATGAATACCTTCATTCATAACTCACCTACACAGATGCATAAGCAGGGCCCGCTTTTCACCACAAGGTGTTTCTAGTTTTGTGTTGTAAGTGTATCATGATAAAGTGGATTCTGTTTTTCCAAGATTATAATCGAGGGTTTGCTCCTGAAAAAGGACTCATTTTCAAATAAATCATTGTTACAATATGTCACAAAAGAAGAAATACCTCAAAGTAAACCTCTTCAAAAATTAAAATAATTAACTTCATTTATTCATGTGATATATAGTTATAAAGGAACTTTATGTTTTAGACATGCATGCTCTCTGTACTATAATTTGTGCATAAATGTTCTGTGCAATTTATTTTACAAGGGTCCTCAATGTACATGCAGCACAGGACACAGAAAATTAAAGTCTATCATGTATTTTACTAAAATAAGTAACCTAGCTATAATAAGCATTAAACATTTAATGATTGTATTTGCCTTCTTAGAATTTTGAAAAGATTTTATAGGGTCTTCTTGACATGAGGCTCTAAAACGCTGCCCATGGAAGTTTGCAGTAAGGCCTCCTTTTCTTCTTCATAAGCTTCTGTGAGCAATAAGCTTGGTACCAAAACCCTCCAGAGTGTCCAGCAAAGAAAGTTTTCTTTAGGAGGTAGGCCACAGCTTTGAACGCTGGAGAAGCTGCTTTCACTGCAAGAAAGAATTGGACCCCTGCCAGACTCCTGCTGGGCCTCACATCTCAGAAAGCCTGTGAAGTCTTCCATTAAAGTCGATTTTCCCACAAACTGCCTCTCAGTCTTACACCTTAGAGCTCCCTGCAGCCTGGCTTTATATTCTCCACAAAGACAAGACATACCTAAGATTCACACCACTACTCCCACCACCAATCACTCACAGAGCACAGGTGAGAAAACTCACTGGCCTCACCACTGCCTGGATCATTCCATACTGAGCAATATACAGAACACCAACAAAACAGCAGCCCACGCCTCTAGTCCCAAATACAGCTAAATTTGGAGAGACCTGAGAGCCCCCTATTTATCAGAAGACTGTCAGTTCTCACCATCTTACCAAACCTGTGATAAGCTGAACCCACCGTGCCTCACTCAAATCCCTGTTTGCCTTTGTCATCACCCAATATGTAAGCACCCAGTTCAGCTTATTTGCTCTGTGACCTTGGGCAACTCACTTAAACTCTGTGTCTGTCTTCTCATCTGTAAAATAAAAGCTCTACTTTATCATGTTCTTATGAGGATTAAAAGCAAAGTATGCAAATCATTGTTAAATTATTATTATTGTTATTATTAAATTACTATTATTGTTTTTATCATTATTCCTCTCCTCCAACCTCATCCCCATATTCCTCTGTGCTTCTTCTCCCTGTTCCTGACCTCTCATTTCTACCTTAACTTCCAGGTACTTCTGCTGTGCCTCCTGGAACACCATCCCATGATTAGCAAACTCTCCTACCATCCTCCAACTCATCCCTGAATATCCATTGATATTCTTGGCTTTCTCATGAGGATGGAGCTTCCCTGACAGCCCTTTCAAGTGAAAGTGGTTTATATGAACATGCTACATGTACTGCAGAGTTGGGAGGTGAGGTGAGCATCCTCTTTCAGCCACACTACAACTTCCAGACAATTCCTCCTTCACCCTCAGGTAAAAAACCCTGATTCTTGTCCCTCTGAGTTTCACACCATTTGGTTACACCTTAACTCCCTCTTTGCTGTCCTCTACTCATTCATTAAAGATCCTGTCATCTGGTTCACAGCCTTTTCTCTCCACCCTAGAGCTGTAAAACACTGCAAGAGAAAATCACACCGTTGAATAAATTGGTACCACTCTGAATTTGTAGTCACCAGCCTCAAGTGGGCCTTCAATATTCCTGGGGAATCCTCTCATGTTTTCAGCTCATTCTCTCCAGTGATTCTTTCAAAGCCTCTCCATTCTCCTCAAAACTCCAACTCTCCAACGGTCCCTTCAATCTTACCAAATAACTCACCTCTTAAAGATAAGATAGAAGTTCCACATGGGAAACCAACTTCCTACTACCTACTACTACCAAACTAACTAGTAGAAGCCATCCTTCTACTGTTAAAATAAGAGCTAGTCCTCTTCCAATCTAGGTCTAATCCTCCATGTGCATTCCAGATCCCATTCACATATGGGTCCTCAGTAACTCTACTCAATCTATTATTATCCCTCTCCTGTATCTTCAACCTCTCCCTCTCTCTGGCTCCTTCCTCTCAGCTTTTTCAGAGGAAATACGTGAATATGCCCACATCATATAACACTCAAACAACACAGATGTACAATGACAATAATAACAGCTAGCCTCTATTGAGTACTTACCCTATGCCAGGCACTGTTGCAAGTACTTTCATGTATTAACTCATTTAATTCTCAGAGTGACTTTGTGAAGTAGATACTATTATTATTTCCATTTTATGGGTAAAGAAATTGAGGAAAAAGGAGGTTAAGGAGCCTAACTTGCCCAAGATTACCAATTTATGAAGTACCAGAATCTGGATTTGAACCCAACCAGTCACAACTCTGGTCTCTAAGTCACACTCTCTGAAGTCCCCTTCCCTTTTCCTGCCCCTTGCCACCCTTCCCTCCTCAGCTCTTCCCTTCTTTCCTTCCCTTCCCACCCCATAGGTAATAACTGGGGATAGTTTTGTGTGTATCCTTCCAGAAAATTTTTGGTGTATTTACATATATATTGTACAAACATGCTTTTAAAAAACATAAATGGGATCATACTATGCATGCTATTTTGCTTTTGCTTTTTTCACTTTATGCGAGAGATTATCTTAGAGATTTTTCCACATCAGATCATAGATGATGGTAGATAGGTAGATAGACAGACAGACAAACTTCATTGCTTTTGATAGCTAAAGGGCCTTCCATAATATATATGTACCATAATTTATTTAACCAGTTCTCTTCTGATAGTCATTTAGGTACCTACAACAGGATCAAAGGTTAGGATGGAGCCA